AAATTCCATAAGCACTCTGCTTCTTTGCACAAATTTCATGGTTTCCGCTTCTGACCACCATAAGTTGCAAGTACAACGCGCGTGTCTGTTCAGAGACAGTACGAGTTTCATGCGAGTACCACGCGAGCCAGCATGCTAGTCGACTCGGCCGAGCACACTCGCACCGTGTCAACGTAGCTTTAAGGGCGATACCTACAAAAAACCATACCATAAGTCCAATACTTGAGAAAGAGAGAGAGAGGTAAGACGATCTATTCGTAATCTACGAAATACTTAATTTTAAAAATACATTCCTAAAAAATTTTAATAAACAAATCAAGACATTAATTGTAATTTATTATTTTTTTTAATTTGCGAATTTTGATTCTATGGACGTTATCGGTTGGTAAAATGTTTCTATTCAAATCTCTTTTAAACTGGACCTGAATATTGTAATTCTTAATTTACAAAAGTCATAATTAAGTTTAAATGGTGTACTACTTTGTTTTTGCTTGCTAATTTTTTCACTACAGGGCTCAATTTTATAATAGTATTTGCATATTTTTCAAAGTAGTCACTTTTTGACTTTTTCCATCCATTCCAAGCGAGGTTTAATAAGCCAAAACATAATTGTTGTACTCAAGAAGGAATATTGTAACCATGATCGCTATTAACTTTACACGTGAAGTCTCCTAATTCGGGGTGATTTTCTTTGTTTTTAGCAAGGTATCCTGCTATATACTTGTGGGGGTCTTACTATTTCTTCTTGTTATATGCACTAGCTTCAAATTAAATAGGAATATCTTCTTCAAAGGTTTCCCTGGTTCGTGGTATGTGGATTTCGGGGACACTGACTGTGGTAGTGCCATTCTCCACAGTAGCGACACGAGGTTGGTGGACGAGCTGACGTGTTTGGGGTCGGAGGTGGACCTCTGGGTGGCTGCGAAATGTGACTGGGTATTCGAGGAGGCGGCCTTTGGGGTACGGACCTTGCCCTTCCTCTAGCAATATCGACTTCCACCTTCTCGGCGACGACAACCATGTTGTCGATGGATGTGAATTCGTGGCTGCGTAAGCTTTGACTTATGCCAGGCAGCAGGAGTTCGATGATGCCCACGGCACGTTCAGCTTCCGAGAGATACGGCTCAAGACGAATGGATAATGCTTGTTTACGCATTATGAAGGTGACGACTGACTCTCCATCACGCTGGGGTACGCCATACAGCTTTGATTTCAATTCAGCGCGGACAGAGGCTGAATCAAACTGCTTGAGATAGATTTATTTTACTTTCTCGTATGTGTACGGCTGGTTACTTATATTGGAGTAGCGGGCGTGAGCACGTCCTCGTAGACATCCCAAGAATACGTTGATGGCTTCATCATCGTCTTGGATATGGTTGCGACGCAAAAATTTTTCTAGCCGGGCGATGAAAAAGGCTGGGTCCCCTTCTTCACGTCCCTCGTACGTAAATGGCGGCTGAGTGAGGTTGGTTGTAGGAACTGTCGTAGTACCAACGGCAGCTGGGGTGGGTTGCAAGATATCCTTGAGACTTGCAGCTAGTGTGGTGGCAAAGCTACCAGCTTCCCATGGTGCGGTAGCAGGATGTGTACTGGTGTCAGCCTGGTTACCGTTTGACCAACGGTTTGGGATGGTTTGAGCTCCGAAAGATATCGCGCTGTCGGGTGTCGACAAGACACGTGGTGGTAGTGGAGGACGGGTTACTACACGTGAGTGCAGGTGTGGACTGATCGGCTTGTTCCATGGTAGATGGGTTTTGCGATGATGTTGGCGCCACTGGGTTTATTTGCTGTGGTGTTTCTCCAAAAATCCAGAACTGGAGACGGCTGCTGGTGCGAGGAGCGTGAGATCCTTGGTTTCAGGCTCGTTGTTCGAGGGCCACTAGGTTGGGCGACATATACTCGCTTGCGCCTTCGAGCTCGGGCGAAATGAATTTTTTTTGTGTTAGATTTATTTTATTTTGTTTTATTTTTTTTTGTTTTACTTTGTTTTTATTTTTTGTTTTGTTTTGTTTTGCTTTTTTTGTTTTGTTTTATATTTTGTTTTGTTTTATTTTATTTTTTTTTGTTGTGTTTTATTTTATTTTTTTATTTTTTGTTTTGTTTTATTTTTTTGAAAACAATAGGGTGGCCTCTGCTTCTGCGATGATAAAACCTCTGCTTCTGCGATGTTAGAACCTCTGCTTCTGCGATGGTAGAACTTCTGGATAAGCACTGGGTAAATGGGTACTTATTTCTAATTTCAGAAATAAAACCAATAATTTTGTTTGTTTGCGATGCGGATGGCAGTAACGTGGAATTTTCATTTGTATCGAAGTTTACGAATTCTTTATAAATTGTTGCGATGAATGCGTTGTTGAATTAATGTGAGCGTGGAACTGCTTGAATTGAGTTTTGATGCTGTAGTTGGTGCGATGCTAACGCTCGGATGCTTGGCTCGAGTGTTGATGAAGCGTAGACTTGCTCTCAGCGAGTTGTGATACAGTGGCTGGAGCGCGCTGTCTCCTTCGAAGCCCCTCAGGGTAATCGCCGTAAGCCCCGATTCCCGTTAGCTCGCGGTTTTCCATCGTAGACCTCGTAGAATATTTATATACCTGGTTTGCGTTGATGCGAACTTTGTTCGCCGAATTCTTTTTAAGTTACGAAATTCTTTTTAAAGAAAGTTGACGAATTCTTTAAGGTGGCGGACAGCCTAGACTGACCGCCGTGGTATGTGTGTATTGTATGTATGTTTAGTGTGTGTAAAGAGATTTGGCCAATGGGCTCTTTTCCACTAGAGTTGGCCTGCCGGCTCTTTTTATATAATGCTTTTTTCGTGGGATTTATCTTTTTCCCTTTTACCTCTCACTTGACTATTTCTTTTGTTTCTATTTTTCAAAAGGAGCTTTCTTTTCCTTTATTTTTATTTTTATTATTTTTTTAATAGTTTTTGTTATTTGGGATGGGTTAGCGATTAAAAGAATGGTATAGTTGTAAATGCAGATAAGCGGTAGCAAAGTACACGGGTGAGCGTTAGACAGCTTCGTGCAGTGCGAAGGCTGGGTGTCAAGTGAGCTGCGGAGCGCGCGCCATTATCCTATGGCTAGNGTGAAGTCTCCTAATTCGGAGTGATTTTCTTTGTTTTTAGCAAGGTATCCTGCTATATACTTGTGGGGGTCTTACTATTTCTTCTTGTTATATGCACTAGCTTCAAAGTAAATAGGAATATCTTCTTCAAAGGTTTATTTTATGAAAATACAGTTCGATGTTATTTGGCTTTTGTAAATGTAACATGTATTCAAAGATATATAATATATTTTTATATATATTTTATTTATAACATTTCCTTAACTACCAAAAATATCATACGCCGTCCTGATCTATTTTTTTAGGCCTCTAGACGTAGATCTTGAAATAAGTGAATTAAGCTGCCACTACAATACTCAAGAGCATCCTCAGTTGTTTCTGGTAGATTTTTTTCTTGGTGCACAATACATGTATTTAAAAGTTTACTTTCTCCAAAACTTTAGGTGTTATATTCACACACACTTCATTGACCAATTCTTTAGTATTTACTTTTCCCTCTAAAATACCTGAATTTTTGCCTTGAATTATCATCCTTATTCCGTAAATTGCTTCCAATGGGATGGGGTGTTCGTTAGATCCTTAACAACGAATTTGAAAAAAGAATCTTCAACTTAATCAAGTTCATCTTGGTTAAGTTTATGAGTGCATATTAAGTATCATATGTCATAAACATTTTTCATATCCCTAAATAACATCTGCAGGGCTTTCATTGATATGAATTAACTGCAAAGATTTTCTTTTTGTTGTTCGCGTAAAACTAATTGTGTTAATCATTTTTTGCAAATGTTCTTCTTGCATCTCTAAATTTACGTCATAAGAATTTTTATTGGAATAAAATATGAGTGTGAGAAGAAAAAAAATAAAAAGAGAAAATATTCAATAAAAAACATTAATATTGTTTAAATATGAGTGTGATATAATAACATAATAATAATAATATAATAATAATTAATAAATAATAATTAATTTTAAAATATATGAAATATATTTTTGCCCCGCTGTGGTGCTGGTCTCTAGGCATTCGTGGGCTTCTAATAGCCTACGGTACAGCTCCTTGTCTGTAACAATGAGAGAGCAATTTTTGGATATAATTTTTTAAATATTGAACAAACGTTAACATACCTTTTATTTCCCGAAATGGGATTAGTTTTGGAGATACATCTTTCTCCTCCTTCTCCTCCTTCTCCTCCTCCTCTTTATTTGGCTTTAGTATATCCCATACATATGGTCGGACGGTGCACATTTTGCATGTGCATAATTCTCCCTTTAATAACTCACTAATTGTTATAACTTTGTGCTCGAGTCATTGCTGCTACTGCTACTACTAATTAGTGATGGGCGGGTCGGGTCTGACCCCGATCAAAGATTCGGATCTTTACGATGATCTGACTGACCCGAATCCCGATATAAGTTCTGTCGGATCACTCGGGTTGCGGACCTCAGCTAATCTCGTATGGCCGTGCTGTGGCACTATGTAATGAAATTTATCGCAGAGGTTTACGGAGTACGCCGCCGCTCCCGAGACCCGTATGTAGTGATGGGAAGACTCGTGTATTTTAGTGACCCGGGTCATCTAGATCAATCATTATGATGACCCGTTCTGCCCATTCATGCGGCTGAGCCACCTGCAGTAGCGAGAGCGGTGACATCAGATGATTATGATATATTTTATTGGCTCGTTATTTCCATCAGCTGCTCGATTTTGTTTAGTAAAATAAAAACAGTTTTATTCTCTCATGTCAAGTGAATTATTATGTGAAAAATAATGTAGACTATAGGATTTAGTAGATATTTAGATACCTATCTTTCTACTAACTTACCTTGCAACCTTTAAGGATATATTTTATTTACTTAAATCGTGTTTTTTTATTTTTTGATAAGTGGATATAAATACATTTTTTTAAAGATTTACATGTAAAAATATAATTTCGCTTATTTTAGAACTTTTTAATCTGCTTCTTCTTTCTGAAACAATTTGTCCCGTTTTAGAGAAAATGCGCTCGCACGGAACAGATGTTGCCGTAATACACAACCGTCTCTGCACTAATGCATATAATTTTGGATATATATTTTTCCTTTCATACCACCACAGCAATGGATCTTCATGTCTATCTATTAAAGATTCAGCCATGTATTTATCTATTTCCAATATAGCTGCCGCTGTGGGATTACTCGGGACTCGGATTTGAATCACTTTTTCATCAAACCACTTCCATATGGAAGACTTCTGACGACTATCTTTTGATTCTTGCAATTGAACATTTTTATTTGTTTCTTCTGATATATTCACATTGACACTTACATCTCTAAATAATTTAATTTTTGATTTCAGTAATTCTACTGCATTATTTGCTTTATTTATGTCTCTGAAACCGTATTTTTTAAAGCGCGGGTCCAGTAGAGTCGCTTGTGCCACAAGTTCATTATTTTCTAAATTTTCGGCTATTTCCTTCAGGTAAATTTCCAATATTACTTGTAATTCTCTTAACGGTAAAGTTGCTTGAAATTCTAATAGATGGTTTCCCATAGCACTAACAAATAATATTATTTTTGAAATAGATACATTTTTTTCAGCGGATATGTCACACGTTACGTCATTAAAAATCTGAAGAATAGATATTGCATGCTTTGCAATGTCCCAATCTGTAGGGCTCAATGTGATTTCGTGCTGCAATATGGCTAAAGTGGATATAATAGCATCTCTTCTTCTGCATAATCTCTCGAGCATATCCAATGTCGAGTTCCACCTGGTGCACAATCAATTTTTAATTTCAATACTTGCTGTTGCATTTGCTCTTGAGTCTGATTTAATTTTGACAAGGCATGGGAACTTCTTTTAAAAAACTCCCACGATTCTTCTAAATTTATTTAATGTAGGCTCAATTTCCCTGAGGCCTCTCTGAACAATCAGGTTAATCGTATGAGCAAAGCCACCTAAATGACGCCAATTGCCTTGCCTTATTGCCGCAACAATATTGTGTGCATTGTCGCTAACCACAACAGAAATGTTATTTTGAATTTCCCAGTCCTCAAATTTTTTTTTAAATTCGCATAAATTTACAGCAGTATGACGTTTATCATAAACGACGCAATCTAATAAATTGGAACATAGTTTCAATTGCCCATTAGAATCATCACACCAATGGGCGGTTATTGCTACAAAATTTTCATTGTTTATGGAAGTCCAACTATCTGTTGTTATACACACTGCATGTGACTGATTAATTTTCAGTTTAACTGCCTCTTTAGCTTTATTATAAATATGCGGTAATAAACTATTTGTGACTGTTTTGCGACTAGGTAGTGAATATCCAGGACATAACATGTTAACAAATTTTTTGAATTCTATGTCTTCAACGATAGAAAAGGGCTGGTATTCTTTTACTACCATACGTATTAACTGTTGATCAAGAAGTTTTGATTTATTAATAGAAACCGGCTTGGCACTAACTACAAAATTGTCCATAACCTCTTGTCTTTTACGTTTTGACGATTCTAACTCTTTCGGTTTCCGACTAACAGGATTTACATAATCATTAGATGGACCTGGCTCATTTGTCGAAATTTCTTCCGAAATGACCCCAGTTTCGTCCGGTATAAATTTATCTCTAATAATTTTGATACCTATAAAATACGACATAAACATGTATTTATAAAATTAAAAAGTATAAATAATTTACCAAAAGATTACATTTTCCTTTACTATCTGCCTCTTCAAAAGAAAAGTGATTCCAAATTTCACTTGTTTTTCTAAATGATATTTTATAATACAAACGATTAGCACTACGTTTTACCACCACAAAATAATAAGAGTTCTCTAACTGTGAAGTGAAGACTGAAGCAATAAGACACCACAAGTCAAGATATGCGCCTACTATAATACATGACGTTATGTTACATATTCTAACACATGCAACATAGCGTCGCATATCTTGTATCAATGAAATTATTCTTATTAATTGTTAACGAAACAAATTAATAAATATTCGTTGCTTAGATTTATTAAATTACGATTATAATTATAAATAATAAATACCACACAGCAAAATCAACTGCGGTTTATTTTATATTTTATTATTTATTGGCAAAAACAAAAACTTCCAATGACAAAGTTTGTTGGACAGTTATGGTGACTTAACAATTTTAATATAATATGTATTATGTGATATATCGCCGATATTCTTAGAAGAATTAATTAGAGAGTTTGTTTTTTGTTTTGCCTTTGTGATTGATTAGATTAGTCAAATGTCGGAACGGGCAAGCTGCTTATAGCTACAACCTACAACTAGAAACTGGAGACTACTCGTAGACGAAGACGTATGGCATACATTTATTAAACAATAAATATAAGTATGTTTTATATATATTTTTTTTAAATTAATTACAATATTATTATTACAATAATGACCATAATTATTGATGCTTAGAAACACATCTGTGTTTCATCATGGGACAATGGAAATACTGTCAAGTTTTGACTAGCAATTACTGTCATGTTATGTATGCACACAACAATTTTTTTATTTAGGTACTCTTTTTTAGATTCAAAAGGTTCAAGAAAACATAAAATATACCTATATAACGGCCTTATGCTTATCTATAATGTAATATACTATTATATTTTATTTGTGTCAATTGTGTCAAATAAAATATTACTACTACTAAAGAACTGCTCTTTTTTGCGATGTATGCAAGTAACATCGAAAGGCAAACATCGATATTGGAATCGATGTTTCGAACTTTCTAACATCGATGACAATTGACAAACCATTGAACATCGACAGAAAAACATCGATGCTTTCCAAACATCGGATATCATCGCCCAGCACTAATACAGTCCCACAACCAGAACCGTTCAGTCAACGTTGGATCCAGAACGAAGCGACCGACCCGACGACCCGGGATCCGGGTCATAGATTCGGCTCATTGAAGAGACCCGGATCCGGTGACCCGAATCCTAAAAATGACCCGTTTTGCCCTTCACTACTACTAATACACTGAATTGGATTTATGCTATTAGACGCGCGTTTAGCGTCTCACTCCCCTCTCTCCCTACACTACTTCTCACTCCACACCCCACTCCACTCACTATTCGAGAAATGAAACACGCAGAGTTCAGCAATATTTTTCCACTTTATTTAAAATAAATAAATACAATCATCAAGCTTATCTCTATTAACAATATACCATTTATATATAGCATATACATTCTGCCTAGTGCAGCGTAAATTATTAATTTTATGTCTATTACAATGAAATTTTAAGCTAGATAACATTAAATCTTTTATTCTACTACAGCCATACGGCTCCAAGTCAATAATAATATTATTAGGTAAATGAGGCTCCAGCCATCTCTTTTTCTCCATTCCTTTCACGAGGACAGGCTGATCCTCGTCTAACACACTATCGGATATGAAATCTCCGAGTCCACTGTACGGTAAATTATCCCACGATGACGACCATCTAAGACCGTGTACGTGATTCACAGTCCAGTCGATTTGGATTTTTACACTCTCCCTGAGATGTTTATAGGGAATCTTGGGCTTGACTATTCTATTCACACAGGATTTGTCGTTAATGTTAAAAATGGAAATTTCCTTGCACGTGAAAGCCAATTCTTTTTTGTATTGAAATCCCTGCAAGTCGATTATGTACATAGCTGCTGATGCTAATAAGTGCGAACTATGCTCGTCAGAGGGTTATAGTACACGATCCTATCGTGAATTATAAGACAATAGGCTGCGGTCTCCTTCGGGATATTGTCATTAGTACCGAATTCCAGTCTAATGTCCACAGTTCCCGACTTTAGAACCTCATTCTGACAGGAACAATCGACGACTACCAGAGGAGCCATATACTTGTACGTATATGTAGTTAGAAAAGGCTCACTATCCTTCTGATAGTATGAATGTTGAAATTGAGCATACATGTCATACAGGATGGCATAACAATTCTTTGAAAAATCCACATTCAAGTTATCGTACGGGTACGAATCGGAATTTAGAAAAACCTTGAAATTGGTTAAATTGCAATGATCAAACTGGCTCATGGCCTTATCAATCTTATTCTTACGGGCCACTTGGAAGCCGAAAATTATGAATCGAGGCTTCTCCAGCTGTGAAGAAGTTTTTATGCTCCAAGTATGTGTCCGGGTCTCGGTAAGCAAGGGGTACTCGTGCAGTTCCCAGCTACGGAAAGGCACAGCCAATTCTACGTTTCTGTCGATATATTTCAACAATTTCAAACGTTCCGCATCAGCCACCGATACGTGTGGCACCTTCCATGAAACACTCTGTAGTTGTACACGGAGACCCTCATCGTCGCCAGCAACGCCCACGATGGCGTTCGTATCAGTGGAGCCGCGAATAAGTACCAGCTCCTGTCTCAAATTGACGATAATTTTCTGGAAATCTTCCCCGAATCCCATGCATATCCTCAGAGGGATGCATACGTCGAAATTGCCCTCGGCATCGGTGAAATGGTCGCTGATAATCCAGCCGGCATTTTCCAACTTTAGGCTTTCATTTTGACTGATTGACACGTAGTTCTTCATGATGGTCGTGAGGCCAGGGTTTCGCGATCTATCCACAGGTATACCATTCAACTCGTATCGGATTTCGTCGAACAGCAGCAAAATGCCCATCCTGTCGAACTTTACAGTCGCCGAAACCGTGCCATCAGCTTTACACAGTCTACCTCTGATATACAGGAGACTATGATATGGAGGCGTATACGTATACTGCTGCTGAATCGGGATGCGGATTTAATCGTTGTTGTTCAAGTTCGTTGCCGAATACGGACCGTGGGAACGCTTCTCGAAATTTACTATGGCATTATCGAAGAGCGGCTTCTCCAACACGTTTAGAATATTAGAATTTATTGCGACGTGGTAGTAGCACTTTGTAACCCAGAGAGTACAAAATCTTCTTGTTTTGCGATGTGAACCCTTTAAATGTCACAGGTAGACTAATTGATTTCGCTCCAGGTGAGGCTTTTAAAGGTTTTCGGCTGTGACCGACGACAGCGAGCCCAAAGCCACTCCGGATTCTAAGCCCCATTCCTCTTCAGGTGCAGTCTTAACGTGATGACTTCTCCACGGAAATTGATCAAATCCCCGTCTTGATCCACTATTTTAATGGTTACACCCTCGATGCGACG